AGACCTCCTAAAGTCCTGGAATGCTGACCCTCAGGTTTGGTCCACACGCGAATGTCATCGTTTTCTCCTAGTCGAGCATAATGCTAATGTGCGCTCTAATGCCCTCTCTAATCCTCCTAGTTTACCATAACCAGTTCGTAGGCCTAGCAAGTTAGTCGTAGAATTTCCAAAGCAACTATGTACCGTAACTCAGAGTGTTTTGCGTTCAAGTGGACAAATTGTTCGACTCACATTTCCTTCGATCGTAAATCCTTTCGCAGCGTAATTAGCCATGCCGCGGATGATGTCGGCGATGTTGCCTTCGATCACAGTGACCAGGCTGTTGTTTAACTTGAGATTCGTCACTGAAAACGCAGTTATCATGGTATCAAGTAAATCCCAAGTAGATCCAGTAAGACTCTTCGAAAAAGGTCCTGAGAATGTTTTTCTCGACACCGTACTGAGGAAGAAACTCATTAAAGTTCTAATCCAGTGACATATACCTATTTCTGATAGCTGTGGGTTTGCTTCAAACAACGAAATGAACACTTTCACCATTGAAACTTCCGTGACAGGGAGAGTTTCACTTAGTTGGTGTTAATAAATATACTGGTTTAGGAGAAATATTGGCCTCGGCTACAGCTTGGAGGGCAGGATATTTCGGTCAGACTGCAAGCGGTTCAGCACTATGGAGATCTTTTTCTTAGTAACACTTCAAACAGGCATACAACCACTATGCGGAGAACCACTTCTTCAGCTCTCACCTTTATCGCTGCCTTGAGCATGATCATTTCACCCTAAAAGTACCTCCTCACTACATTCGTGCCCCCTTTTGACTGATTTGCTTAAGAAAGAGCTGTTATCTGGGAACAAGGACCACACTAATGCAATCACGTCTCCCCCTTTCCCCAACGACGACCAGTACGACCCCGCCCTTTCCCAACAACGACCAAGAACGACCCCCCCCACAGCGCCAAGTACAACCCTTCCCACGTATTCCACACAACGATGCTGTACTTGAGTCAACCACAATCCTTTCGTTGGCTACTCCCATTGTGGGCTCATCTGCTCCTGAAACATTTGCTGACGTCCTTTACATCCAACTGTGCTAGAGGACATGCTGAGTAGAAAGATGAAGTACAGGAGCCAACCAGTTCCTCCAAATTTTCACCCAAAAATTTTTT